TTCCCCCAAAAAAGATCCGTGGTCAATTTGCAAATTGAGTTCTGTCACTGACCTGTAAGAGATATTTTAATCCATTTGAAGTTAAATGCTTGACAAAACCACAGCTATGAAATTGTTAGCAGTACCTCCACAATAACTGGGCAGTTGGATGGATATTTAAATTTAAATCCTGGCTTACAGACAGAATTCCCGTCAATTGCAGATGGATTAGGATTCAATCCCTCTTGCTAATTTTGAAGGTTGGTAAAGTTTAAAACACTGGAAAAAAACCCCATCTCAATTATAATTTCTAGCTGTCAGGAAGGAATTATATCAGTTCCATCTTACAGAAGGAAATCTGTGCTGTCTAGCAGTAATCAGTTCCATATTTGTGAAGCCTTCCAACAAAACACTTTTTGTCTCTGATTTGTATTCATCTTAGGACACACTGATTTCAGACCCTCTGTGGATTGTAATGTATAAACAGCCCTTGTATTTTAAAATGCAACTAAGAAACTCTTTGGCAGGGTCACCGCATTTCTGAATCTCGAGCAAAATATACCAACTGCAACTGGCGTCTAGGCTGCAAAGCAAGCAAGGCAGGACACTCAAAGACAATTGTGTTCGTTCAGTTTAGCTAAGAATAGGACATTAGTAAGAAACATTTTAATCTAACAAGCATCATGTTTTAAAGGGAACTTTAAGCTTTTTTTGGTCAATTTGACAGGCATGTGATGATCTCATGGCATGGAAGTTGGAGACCAAAGCAGAGAGGTTCCGAGATTCCAGTAAAATCTCCCAGCCATCTCAGCAAACCACACGCTTTTTCCCACTGTACGCCTCTCAAACTGTATTCCCATTAGAGAGGAGAGTTCTACGATTACTTCTAAAAAAACAAGTTGAGGGTAATCAAATTTAAAATACCCTTGCAGAATGAACTCTGTCCCTGGAAGCTTACCATTCACTAGCCACAGTTTTATCAGCAAGATGTCACTTAATTCCAGTCTTTTCAGAACAGATACGAACCGTTCCTGTGGTTCAACTCTGCCTTCCTGATCGCTGTCAGCGGTATTGCTTTGTGCCTGAAGGATTTTAATCTAATTTTCTAGAGATTTAGAGCTGCTACACCCTCACTTGTACCAGCAACATCATAAAACATTGTTTAGTTTCAACTAAAATTCAGAGAGAGATAAAACCCTTGAAGACAGACTGCTTTTAGAAGTCTTGTGGAAAAAAAAAATGGCTGGACACTTCCAACAGCGATGCCCTTAGAGACAGACAGGCTGCAGAGCTCAGCCTCTGCCCGCCAGCAGGCTGATCAGCGCGTACCTCCAGCCTAACTGCTCGTAAAAACACAGCAACACAGTGAGGTCAGGAGATGCACAAAGAATGGAGGCACCAGAGGTCAGGGAGTAAAGGAGCGGAGTCGCCTTTTACTGCGGTGTGCAGGAGCCAGGAAAGAGCAATCCACCCCAAACCCACCTTTGTCAGCTCCAGGACGTTCGGCGTGCAAGGTTCAAGGTATGCGAGGCTCACCATCCGCCACAAAGCCACAGCATCAGCACCTTCAGTCCTCTTCACAGAGCAACATGTGGCACAGGCGGGCACAAGTCAGTTTGTCAGCTGCAGTCCAACATCACAGCTGCTCCAGAGTGTCCGAGACTACGGATGCCGTTATGGATCATGGGGGACAAGGGGAAATGGTAGTTTTCAGATATCCCATGAAACATCACAAAATATCCCATCCAATTTGGTGGGACAAGGGAATAAAGCTGCAATATAGAACACTGAGACCAAGCTGATCTCTGTGGTGTCTGAGTGAGTCAGGTTTCCAGTTTTAGAGGTACCAATACGGAAAAGACCGAATGCTCTGCAAGTGTGCAGAAAGACAGACAGTCACAGGACTGTAAATCAGGATAGAGAGCTTTACAGTTCCTTTTCACCAGGGTATCTCTGGGCCAGGTTTCACAACCAGCATTTGATCACTGGGCTGTGTGAAGGAAGCTGTTGAGTTTCAGTCCAGTTCCCAGTGGGCAGGTTCCACATCACAAAAAAAATAAAAATCCCCCTATTATACAACTGACACTAATTGGATCCTTTTTAAGCTCTTCAGAAGAGAGGCCAAGGCTTGAACATCATGGAGACAGAACTAACTGTTCTGTGAACTGCCCAGAACAGAGACACATGGAGGCAATGCTGGGGGACTTATGTGGCATCTCAAAAAACATAGGTTTCAGATTCTAAGCCTTCTGCAGTCTGCAACTTTCACCAACATTCAAATTCACCTACATTAAAAGAAAATTAAATTGTCCTCCCCTGCAAAAAGTGAACCACAACAAAGCAAACATCCTCCAGCGAACTATTCGCTTGAATCTATTAAAACTTGCCAAGTCAACGTTCCAGTCTCAACTGCCTAACCCAGCCTGCCAAGAGAAGTGTCAGTTTTTTGCTCCTCTATTTTACATTAACAAAAGTCAATTGTGGCGATGAATTACATCACATGCCAACAATATATCACATTCCTTCACAGCTGGTTTTTTGTAAAGGGAAGGAACAGATCTCATCAGTCACTGACACCACTTCTATAAACCGTAAGTGTTGGAAGAACTCCATCCACAAAGCCAGGATGGTAAACTACCAAACAAAATCCTAACAAAGTGGCATAGCACGAACTATCAACTCCAGATAACAAACCCAAGTTTATATGAAGAATCTGTGCATTAACCAAATTGTGGTGATCATGAACTTACTGTAAGAGATGAGCAGGTCAGACTGAAAAAAAGAAGCCACTATTACACTGCATGAGCAGGAAAGCCTGCTGCCAAGTCAAAAGGCTGGACTTTGCCTAGCATACTATCAAGAAAAAAGCAAAACTGTGTATTATTTTTTCACAGATTCTTTAGCAAAGTACTAGCTAAATCAAAAGGATTAAGATAATTCCCCCTAGGATATGTAACTGATTTAAATAGAGGAAAAATGCACTCCTATTAAATGCTAATAGGACTTCAACATGTATTGTCAAAACAGAATTAGACTGCAAATAAAGGGCCTACTGTAGTATATATTTTAGTGCAGTAATTTCATTATCTGTAACTATCAAATAATAAAGGATAATAATGAAAAGAACACAGAACAGGGAGAAGAAAGCTGATTACTAGACATGCATACAAAATGTGGCTGAGTGATTCTGGGAAGCTCAAGTAAACCTCCAACTGTTTGATGTGCTGTATATACACACTTACATATCTGAAAAACAAAAATGCTTACCACCATATCAATTCTACAGCAAGCCAATTTTTAATTATTCCTATCAAAATAATAATAAAATCCTAGCAGTTTCATTCAACGTGCTTGGAGCATAGAGATCACCTATGCAAATACAAACATAGTATTTGAATCTACAATTAACTATTGCCAGTTATAAATGGGGACACTTTAAAAAACAAATTATGAAGGTAATTAATACTTTTCACACACAAAGCTAACAATAACATCATGCAATGGTTTTAAAAGCCTCCTACCTTCTGCATTTCTATTCTGGTTAGTTTGTGCCAAGATTATAAAAGCATATTTTAATTGTAAAAGAGGAAGAGAGGAAGCTGAAAAGCTCCTGTCCCTTCCTTTGGTCATTTCATGTAGATATTACTGGACTCAAATATTCAGCCACTAAACCATTGCTATGGAACATTAACATTTTAAAAGGATTCCTGTGTTTGGAAAAAAGCTAAGAATAAAGAGGCCAAAGGAAAGCCCATAAAAAGTTATTCTGTTCTAACCCTGACAAAATAAGCACTTGTACATCTGTTCAACTAAACATGAAGTGTTATGGTCATATGACAAGAGCAGGTTTTATTTAAATCAATGTCACAGGGATGAAAAGCATAAATATAAAAGCAAAACTGAGTGACACTATGCTTAGCATCTTTCTGTAACAAGCAATTAACAGTCAAATAGTTGTTTGCTGTTAAGAATTTTATGTCAGGAAATAAACCAACATGTACTACAGCTGGTGTGACACAGCCACCAAGGGGTTTGACTCCATGATACTCGTGCCCAGTCATTTCTCCCTGAGAAGCCAGTTAAGATGTGCCCGGCTCCTATTCTATCAGCACACGTTTTTCTCTAACGCTGTGCAAACACTCGTATTCTCATGTAAGCTGCTGAATTCAGAGAGGCAAATTGCTCCTCAGAGGTGTAGGCAGAACTTCAGTGCTTCAGCAGAAAAGGAAACTCATACTTTTGTTCCACTGTATTCTGATCCGCTAACAAAGACTGCAAGCTCAGACCTGATACTTCAAACTTTAAAAATATACCCCACCAAAGAAAACTCCCAAACAGTTTTGGGGAAAAAAATACTCTTACTATTACAGGCTCATCTTTATAGATAATGATACCCTGCTATTAGAAACAGGCTGCAACAATATGTACAGTAAGAACATCATACAAACATTTTCATGAATATGCTTTAATATATTTAATCAAAAGGTAAATTATTTGAAAATACCCATGGAACCTTTAAGAAATAAAAAGTAGTTCTACTGAGGGTGCAGTTAGCTGGCACAAAAGAAAATCATTATTGCTTTTTTTACTGTTGGAACGTTTCAAAAAGTTTGAATTTCTGTACTAATACATTGCAAACTATAATTACAGTTGTAGCAGACATCAGTAGAAGAGGACAGCAGGCAGATCCTTCTGCCTTCACCCCTACTACTGAGACCATCAGCCTGGGTGACCAAGAATGACAGCAGTCAACTGGGAGAAGAAAAATTTTTGTGCAAATACCCAATCATTTTAGAATGAGGTCTGCTGACACAACATGGATTTTGGTGAAACGTTTCTTACTTAGGGGAAGTGGCTTCTAACACAAGTCCATTAGCTATTCACAAGCTTATAAACAACTTACAAATGTAACAAATCCAGATAACATCAGATTACAACAAAAGTTCTGGATCAGAGTTGTACAGAGAAAGCCTTAGGGAACGAAAACAGTAATGAATGTTGCGATCAGGCCCATCATTGTTTCAGAAGTAGTACGCTGTGTGAGTAACCCAATTGGAACACTCCTCCTTTGAACGTTTTGCTGAGCTGTGTGATGTAAAAATAGATTTGTACGCCTCGGATTTCTCCTCGCTGTCTGCAATGGATCTCTTCGTGGTAGTAGAAGCAGCCTTACTGACTTTTCCTGGTACAGATGGATTTCCATTATCTGCTAGAAAAAAAGGAATAGAATGAAGCATGCATTAACAACTTAGAGTTGAGAAAACTATTTAAATAAAGATGGATAAAGTTATTTCAAAAATAATGTGTACAGAGATGAAGCACACACATTTTTTCAGGGCTATCACAAATACATCCCATAATTGTACTCAATAGCAAACATGTTGCTAGTTTCTGAATTTGTGCTCAAGATGCATTTAGAAATCTTGGATTTCTAAATTTTCTTGTGTAAACCCTTGCACTGTAATTCAGTACTGACAACATTTACCCTTGCAAGTGAAGAATGGCTCTGAACTCCAGTCTTGAGAAAGAAACATGAAAGTATTCCCCCACCCTGAAGTACTGTTTGGAAATTAGCTATCAAATGACAAAAGCTGAGCTTGTGACATTCCGTCCCTGGGGAATCCATCTCCTCCCTTTATTCTTTGCAAAGTCATTTATGACCAATAACAATGGTCTGCATCATTTTATATTTGGGATAGAAAAATGCTCATCCCTCTCTTTCTGACACCATCTCTCACAGTGTATTTTATGTACTGCTACAGCCTGCCCCTCCTTCTCCTTCTTAACAACAACTTAATCTTCTCCAAAGTTGAAGTGTGTGCCAAGTTTCTTGTGTGAAGAAATGAATACACAGAAGTCTGCAAAAACTACATACTCAGTTTAACTTGGACACAATGGCATGTAAATAGCTACTAGGGAGCCTGTCCGAAAATGCACGTAACTGATTTCTGCATGGAGTCACAGGAGTTACACGTGTAATTCTACATCATCATAGATCAGATCGTTTTTATATTTGGAGAATGCTGCTTTTAATGCCACTAATAGTTGTCTGGAAAGAATTACCAAACACTCAGTTTGACAGAATGAACTCATGTGCTGCAAGTCCAGAAACCTTAGGGTGCCATGTTCACAAATTAATTCCTATGCTACTGCCATTCCTCAGTTCATGGATTTTTTTTCTTCATTTTTCCCTTTCTCCTCTTTTTCTCTTGCTAGTCAATATAACTGCTGCCTGAAACATAAACCAATGACCTGACATTTCAAAAGGTATATTTTTTTCTTCACACTCTTGGAAAACAAAAACACATCAAACTTCCTGAGAATTACCAGGTTCCTAAACATCCAAAAGCAATCATCAATATTTTTAGTCTATCCTTTATAAAAACAGACAGTAGGGGGCAGGTAAGGTATTTCTGATGGAAATACTCTCAGCTTCTCACATAGTTTATCTACAGTTCATTATTTAACTATTCTCGGATTCTTCAAACAAATTATATTGACTTTTTCTGTGGCTGTAATGCACATGATTGAATACTTCACCTCAAAACCTCAGACTGACTTTAAAAATGTGCCAATTCTTAATAGTTCTGATGAAAACACCAGTATGAATTGGAGACATCAACTAAGATACTATATATTACCTAAAGAGAGGGCACCATCATTCAGATTAAAGGACTGCCAAGCTTACTCATAGCTGCCTGACTATGAGGTACTGTAGGTACATCAGTAGATCCTGAAGTCACATTCCACTGCTCCCAGTGACACACAGCAACCTAGCTGCTAAAATGAAGGATTAAAAGTCATCACCCTGGGACATTTTAATACAATTCACTGAAATAAACTGCTATAATGGATTTTTTTGACCACTTCTACTTCAGGAAGACGACTACTGATTCTCCTCACACTACCAATAAAACAGATACCTCAAACCGTCGACTACCTCACTCTGTGAATAAGAATCTCTGTTCTCGTTATTCAAGTTGACTCCCACCAACTTAAAGTAATCTTGGAATAACGTGAACAAGCAAATCTGGCTTACTTCACAGTGAAAAAAATGCAATGTCGTGAAAAGTATTTATTATTTTTATTAGTTATCTGCATCACTACAGCAGTTGCCAGTCACACGCATGAGTAGAGACCTTGTTTTAGGTATTTTGTGAAAGTATAACAAAAAGTCAGTCCCTACTCTATGGACTATCTGCTCCAAGTACAGGACGAGTGCTAGCAGGATGGGACAAAAGCAAACTGAGCAGAATAAGGAAAACCAGACAAATAGAAGCCCTTGCACACTTTCTGCAGAGTCAGTTTTAGACTTTGCAGATTGTAAAGCAAAGCTCTGTTTTAAGAAAAAGTTAAACTGACTACAGTTTCTACTGAACAAGGAGCTTTGTGCATGTTCATGAGGCAGCTTCCTACTCCAGCCTGGAAAGGCAGCCTTTTAGGACAAAGAGGGTGTTCTTTGAAGAAGTGAGCCATGACATTACGGCTCCCTTAAAGACAGAAGTTGACCTTTTATTACTGAGAAAGATAATAAATTAAGATATACTGTGAGGAAGTTTGAAAGAGAAAACAGGCGGAACTAAGAATACAGAGAAGCATAGAGCAGGAAAAGAATACTTTTGGGGTGGGTGATACAGTTGAAGCAACAGACAGATTTAAACTTTTCTTAAATGGGCGAGAGTAAAAGCAAGTAATTTTTAAAATTCAGTGTTAATCTCTAGTTTTTAACTGATACTGCTTAACCCCTGTGCTCATATGTACAAGAGATCACATTTGAAACACAAGTTCAAAAGTTCTAGCTAAAGAAGTTCTTCGGGCAAACTGGGTGCAATAACACATTGGAAGTGAGAGGGTAGTTTCCAAAAAGCTCTGGTATAAAAGAGCCAAAGAAGGATCCCTTCTACAATATTGTTCAAAGCAGAACTATTTGTTCACTTTTTTCATGTTTATAAAAAAACCACCAACCTGAACTTTTGGTGAAGATAATCTGCCTCTTTTTCCCAGAACTGGAATTGATACAATCCTTTCCATTCTTAGCCTTTGATGGACCTGGAGCATCTATGAAAGAAAAAAAAATAAAAAAATCACGAATCTGCTTCATGACTCAGAAGGTTACAGACATTTTGTAGCTGTGGCATTACCTGCAGCGGGATCTTGCCGAGAAGCCGATTCTGCTGGCTTGCATTTCTTTGATTTCTGAAACAACACAAGCAGAAATCTGGTAACGTGCTGAAAGGATGTACAATTCCCACCTGGTATTTGATAGGCACACGATTCCATTCAGTACACTCTTATGTCCTGCACAGTGGAACTCTTCCTTTCCCAGCACTGCTCCACACTTTTGGTATTATTGCTATGTGGAAAAATAATAACTTTGGGAACCTTGAAGACAGCTTAAAGGAAATTGTGCAGGTCAGAACTAAACTGTCTGGATGTGGTATTCTGGACTGTTTACTTTTCAGGGGATGCGAGTGTTATCATCATTAAGACAATCTGATACTCTGAACCCACATGGCAGGACACTATGCTGGATGGTATTAAACATGACACAGTTAACTGGTATGAATAAAGACATTTCCAATAAAAATTTCAGAATAATCCTGCACCTCATATCCACTTAATTTTATTTAGTTAACAGAAAATTCCTTGTGGGTTAACTTCCAGTAACTGGGCCCTTTCTTGAAGGACTACTTAGGAAGAAGAGACACAAATAGTTAATCTAAATTTTTTTAAAGCATCTGTGGCCCAGATTTTCCAAGTTAACTTATGTTTGTCCAGATTAAAAACAAAACAAAACAAAGCAAAAAAACCCCCTAGACAACAGCAACAAGAATTGCATTATTGGCTTTGATTATATAAATGCCAAGCTGAAAAAGAAAGATGTATTAGAACAATCATTGGCGTTATTATCACAAAAGATGACTCTGTATACATTCAGAATGTGTATGTATTTCAAGAAAGCTACAGAAACTACAAGAAAATAAACATATGTAAATGTGTTATAAATATTAGGAGAACTCATGCTGTCAAGCACATGATTAATGCTTGAGGAGAAAAATGCCACGCCACATGTTGCTGCAAAGCTTAGCCAGGAGGTGGTGGCAGAGGGTTACTACACTACAAGCAACTGGGCTCTCCTGGCACCCTTCAGTGTACACCTCTTCTCAGGGTGCTTTCACCTTTATTATAGAAGGGATTACAAAGAAGAGTTTCCTCCCAATATCTGGCTTCTGAATGATGAGATGTTGGTAAATATACATCTGCATAGATATTTTACATAATGAATATATCTCTATTTCATCATGGGCACATACGACATAGATGAGCTTGAGCAATTTTTCACACCAGTGCTATCTTCCTTATGTTTTGTCTAATGGGTATAAAGAAAAGGAGTTTGTGCTTACTGCTCCAAATACAGTAGGTCCACTTAGTTAGCCGAGCTGAAAGAAAGAACTGAGGAAGAGCTTTGAACAGCAGCGCCAACAGAAGCCAAACTAGAAACTGTCTTCTGATACTGGGACTGGAGCTCATAGACCTCAGGTGCACAGTGCCAGTGACAGCAGAGAAGACCAGTTCTGGCTGCAAAAAGATCAGCTGGTGCAGCAAGGCACGGGAGAACTGCAAAAAACCCATCAGAACTACAGGATGAAATGCAAGAGGCCTGCTGAGAGATTTGCAAATACTGTACCTACCTGTAATGTAAGTCTCAACTAAACAAATAAAAAATATTTGCATATTCACCCAAGGCACATAGAGCTCAAAGACCAAGGCATGATTTCCTTTTGTCTGCCACCATGAGCGACTGTACTGACACCGTGAGAGACACAAGTGCTCAGCACACTTCAGTACCTCTCCTCTGTTGTGCAGAAACTGGGGACAGCACCAACTTTCAGACTATTCCAGATTATCTGGACCAAAGAAGCTTTATAGAAGCTTTGTTAGGGTAAACTTCCTAATGAAAATTGAGTGCAATATCCTATAATCAAATTATTTTTAAAAGGATTTCAAACATTTAATTACAAAGTACTGAAAAAAAAAAAAAAAGAAAAAAAAAATCCAACCATCTGACAAGGCAGCGTAAGATTTCCGGTAGTGCTCTCATGCCAGAAGCTATAGGACACTGAGTGCAGAGGTTACGAACAGAAGGAAACAGAACAGTAGGATTTCTGTGGGTAACCACCCTTTTCTTTTATTGCCCAGGCCCAGTGATGCTGTATTGGTGCAGGTGAATAAAGACGCTATGATGAGAAGGAGTCATATGCTTGCTGGTAAGTAAACAAGTATTTGTTCAGAAAGAATCTAGGAAAAGATTTATATGCCATCTAAATGTAGAGGCAAACAAAAATCAAGTGCAGTAATAGGGGTGAGATGATCAACCTCCATCTAAAGTCTCAGATGCTGCAAGCGTCAGACGATGATTCATACTTGATATTCTACTAAATCTGTCTGCACTCTGGACCCAGTCAACACTAAAATTTTTGCTTGCTTTGTCATCCTCCAGACTAGCAATGCCAGTTGAGAAAAAATAGCAATGCTGAAAAAAGTCCCATGTGCAGAACTGTCATTTGACAGCACACTACCACAGAACAGCTACTGCTTCAGAGCAGTAGTCTACACTAGAGTATGTAGTAGAGCTGCAGTGACTTCATTTCCATGGCAATCTGCCTGGTCAGATTGAAAAAAAAACCCAAAAACCAAAATCAAAATGCAAGACCTCAGCAGTACGGTGGGAATTTGCATCGCCAGTAATCACTCAGGACTGTAAGAACCACAAAACATGACAACATTTCCAAACAACAGTCTCACAAAATCAGACCCGGAACCTACACGCTTCAGTGTTGTGTTCCTGACAGTGACTAGTAGAGGATACTTGGAGATCAAAAACTTAATAACCTGCCATCAGGAACTACAGTATGAAATACAGGGAAGATTTTGCTCATTGCTAGAATTAACTAATACAAGCTCTCTGTTCCAAGAAAAACCTGAAGCATAGCTGGCACCCTGTTCATTTTACCCATAGCAATGAATTCTGTGACTTTCAGAGCACTATGCCTGCAAGTGAAAAGAAAGTTTCAGTACATACAACTTCAATATGCTGTTAGCAAAATAGGCATACAATCTCATTACTTTGAAAAGTAGCACTGAAGTACAACACAGCTTACTGTGGAAATCCTCCCATCTGCATAAAGATTGGCAGACAAAACTACGCAAGCTAAGAGCAGATTGCATTACAGACAAGAATTCTTTCAATTTTGTTTTAAACACTGTGAAAAAATATTACCTTTTCCAATTTGCTTTTAAGTCTCCTCTCCTCCATCCTTTTCTTCAATACTTCCACATCTTCCTTATTGCCATTAAGGATAATCACGTCTTCCTCTTGAAAGGGAACACCGCACTTCAAGAAAAGAAAAGGAAAAAAAAAAAGGAAGACAAAATCGGTATTTTTTCCCCAGGTCTTTATGCAGGTGAACCTTTGTTAGAACCAATACTGTGTTTAAGCTCTCCAAGGAACTCTCCAATCCTTCCCCTTGCCACTGCATCTTTTCCAATCATTCTCTTTTAAGACAGTGTAATACATCTTCTCACTTAAAATGTCAAAGGAAAAATCTGAATTGATTTTACCACAGAGCAAAATAATCCTGATTGACAGCATCCCCCTTCGCAAAAAGGGGGAATAAAAAATTGTCTTGCTAGTGAATCGTAAACTTTTGATAACCACATTTAAAAGCAGCTCACATATCAATCTGCACAGCAAACTCTAAAAGATTTTCAGAAATATGAAAATATTTGGTTCTTCTTCAAAGCACTATTCCAAGCAATAAGGCTATGGAAATTGAGTATTTATTTCACTATCAGTCCATTGGAAACACCATTCAACTAGTTTTTTTCCTTTAAAAAAAAAGATCCCATTGTGTATTTTCTATTCATGGGTTCCTTGTTTGATAATCATAAATTGTACAGCGACTGGATTAAAGAGAGTCTTAACTAGAATCTCCTCAATTTTCTGAACCTCACAGTTAAAACTCAAAACACTGAAGTACTTTCTGATTTTTTTTTGTTATGAATACATTTGATTAAGATTCAGGCATTATGCCATTTCCCTCTAGAATTTGTCTTTCAACTTAGTAAAACATTAAACAACAACTGATAGGAGCAGTTCCTCTACAGTGATAAGGGCCAACACCAAAGGTGTTATTCATCTACGTGTAGATCAGACAGCATCAGGGACTTTTTCTTCCCAACAGCTAGACAGGAAATCCCGTTCTGTTTGTTTGGTTTTTATTTGTTTTATTTTTTTTTAAGTATTATTAACAATTTTTTAATTACTATGGGGGAAAAAAGGGATCATTCGTTAACACAGCCTTGCCATCTCATTATCCTTCATCTGATTTATTAAACACCACCAAGTTTCAAAGTACATTTATAAATTAATCTGGATAATGCATGTAAAGTGCATCATGTAATTCCACATGCTTCAATCATTTGGTGAAGCCAGCACACTGACTGTGATGTTTTCTTGTTCTAAGATCTCAATTTCTTTTCTTTTTCCTGTTATTTTGTTAAATCCAGAAGCTTTCTGTTAATCTGCAAGATTTGTTTATAATCCTGCCTCTCTCATTACTCTTCTGTTTTCTAAACAAAGGTTTAGAAAGGTTACTCATGCATTTGCAGTAGGAATTAACCAAATGAAAGGACATATGGACAGGACTTTGACTACAGTCTGCTCAAGTGATGAACAGTTTAAAAACTGAATCTGAACACAAGTGGTCAGAGAAATTATGAAGCAGCAGCAGGGGTTATAGAGGCACATGGTAATAAGTCAGGCAGAATAAGTCACACATAAGAAATGGGTGAGTAGCCTGACTTTTCCATTGCTACTCAATGAGCTAGTGTTAGAAACAGCAGCTTGGTATGATCTCAAACACTTGCAAGCGAGCAGTCTAGAAAACCAAGCCAGGCAATCCGTCTCCATGAGGCAGGAGCAAGTGGCAGCTGTCAGGATTCTGGGGAAGCACTACACAGTCATTTCTAGTGGGGTGTTTTCCAAATACAGTACAGAAGACTGGCACTCTCTAATGGCTTGTGGTTTAAAAAGTAATTTCTGCAATAATTTTAAAAAATATTCTATAAAGCATACAAAAAAGCGCAGACATTTCCTACAAGTAAAAGTTCACGTCAAAGGACTCTAATTTCAATAAATGTTGCATTTTGAAAAAGTAAGCAAATCCAGGTTTCCATCTGGAAAACACAGGTGGAACTGTTCTAAAATGAAAAGTATTTACAAGAAATGGGGAAATGACTGTGGTCCCTTCACTGAAACAGATATTACAATAGCTGGATTACATTAGAGACCATGCTCTTCCAAACATACTTTAAGTACAGCAAGTCATAGGCACCAAACCAACTCCACCTTTCCAGGTTTCACTGACTCCAGTAAGTACGATTTGTCGTTGCACCATACACGTGAATCAAACTTTTTAAATTGCCACTACTACTGGATGCAAAGCTTTAGTTCTGATTTTTTAACTTTTTTTAAAAAGCTCACTGCACCTTCATGTAAAAAAGGAAATATTGTTATTTCAACATTCTGAAATGCTGACATGAATTTCAGTTTTGCAAATTCAGAAAGATTGTTCCCTCTGATGAAGGTCTTCTGGGGCAGATGTTTGCTTTACGATATCCCAGGGTCTCCCTGGCTGTACCTTGTTTATATTGGGACTTCAAATACATACGAAGGTACTTGCTGTAGTTCCTTGATGTTTTTGCAGGACCTTTCTAAATGAGACTGAACTTGAAAACTACTCTGCAGCAGACAAAAACCTTAGAACAGCAGCTTGCAGATCTGGCTGCAAGATGCAGTCTGTAATTGAAGAATGGGATCCGAACTGAAGGATGCTGGACAAGCAGCAAGACTTTTGTCTAAAAGCCCTTTCAGGGTCCAATAAAAGCATATTCAAAACTTTTTATCTAAATGGCTTAACATGCTTGCATCAATGAATTATTTAAAGGGTGTACAGGTATGATCAAAAAGTCTTCAAAGTCTGATACTCATCAATTTATGTATCCTACATATCCCTTGTGTATATACATACATACACAGACAAAAAATCAACTTTACAAGAAACTAAATCTAAAAACAACCAGAAGACTTAAATTGATAAGAACAATAAAGGTATTATGAGCTGTAAATGACATTTTAGCTTAGGCATAAATATAATCTTTTAAATCTAAACCAGTAAAAGAAATAGCAAAATTACTTCTTCAAATAATTAAGACCTTCTAAATCTCATGTCATTCTAATATGGTAGAATAATTTCTTATCTTTTTCAGAAAATAAAATACAAGGGTGTTTTATCAGTAGTAATGAAATCTTAGTTTAAGATGATTTCCTGAATTCTTAAGTTTACAGTTTCTTCTTAAGTTTCAGGTACATAAGAGCATGGTTGTAGCTCATTTCTTGCTGTAAATTACTTTTGCTAGAGTGATGATTATTATCTTGTACAACCTCTAAGATGTAGTTCCATCCATGACTACTCCAGTCTTAATATAACACAAATAAACTGAAGGCAAATACATTTCCGTATCTAAATGTTTACATCAATGTTATGGTTTAATGTCTTGCAAGACACTAAATGCCTCTGAAACCTCTTTCCCAAATTATAAACAGTAAGAGTTAACTCCTGCAGCCCTCCTAAAGATGACCGTTACTAGGAAATGCATAAAGACATGAATACTTCTCCAAAACAATTCCCACCAGACTATGGAACAGGTATGGCCACAACTCGCCTGTCCCTCTTTAAACAGGGCAGTATTTACAAAGAGGATTGACCAGGCATCCTGTTCTACCAAGGACCATATCACCACTCATTTACCAGCCACGCACGCTCATGTAGTAAAGATTATTGTCCTGTAACAGCTGACTAAGAATATGTTTTAAGAGATACTCTTCCAAAGGTTTATTAATTAGAAGTTCAGTAGTGTAAGATTTGATGAACACAGATTTTGACATTGCCACCCTACTCAGATAAAAAACGAGGCAAAGAGGAGATGACAACCTGGGAAGAGTGGAAAGTCCCCAGTATCGTAATTCCCAGAACGTGAACTTTCACTCTGAAGTTGTAGCACCTACTACAGAAACGCAGTTCAAGCAGAAGCCTCTACTTACAGAGCTTCCCTTAAAGTCAATGATAATTTTGTATCTGCCATACCTGCAGCTGTGCCTTAATTTACTTTGAGGTTTTCTCTCTATTTATTTCTACCCAACATGCTATTTTTATCTGAACGTGTCCAAAATACATCAGCTTTCTTACTCCCTAGGCTTCCTAATTCCAGTAAATTGAAGCTGTTAATTTTTCAGTTATTGAAAACTCCCAATAACCTTTATAAGAGTAGTAAGACAGTAAACACTCAGTTTCAGAAGGAGATATTTATTAAATTTAAAGCTTCCAGCTACTAGAAGTGACCAGAGGCAATTCTTTGCTATACTTACTTGCTGCAAATTGGAAAGTTTCAGCAAGCAAACAGTTAAGAACCGGGGGAGGAGGAGGAGGAGAAGGTTCGTTTCCTTTCCAGTTCTCATCATCCAGCATGCTCTGTTAGCAGTGCAGAGGTTAAAGCCTCTGAGGTAAAGCAACTCTATTTATAATAATCAGAAACGTACTCTACATATTTAAAAGTCTGATTTCAGCCCTTTAAAGGCTGTCTCAGAGGAGTGGCAACAGAAATGTGGAGCAGCTCAAGTTTTCTCTCATTATTGTGAGGCAGAGGACATTCTGAAGCTAAACAGCATTACTGCAGAATAAATATGCTAAGCATTGCGGGAAGCCAGATGAAGTCTTAAATGAAAACATTCATGTTAATGTTTAACCCCTTTTACTTATGCCAGATTTCCACACAAGCGACAGGATGAAGAACGCTGCCTGAATTTTGCTGAAGGACAATGGGATAATATTTATTTTTATTATGCTGCCGTCTCCCGGCTAATTTTGCACAAGGTAAGACTGAATAAATTACATTGTAGGACTTCAGGTTTTTACTTTTCTTTTATTAAAACACAACACGTTTTATTTTTTGTAAAGTGACAAGTACTTTCACTTCAAAAAGAGCATTTCAATTTAAAAAATACTCAAATCTGAAATAAGGGTAATTTTTTTTTTTAACTTTGTAACAGATGCACCATAGGGTGGAGGTCACTACTGCCAGTGTTGTTTGTATCATAAAAATCACAGTATTTATTAATACTTGTTATGCTCTGTTGCAAGTAACTTAATTTTTGTACAGCCCTATAACTTAATAGTTTAAATAGCTTGCATACTATCTGTCTTAAATTGTTATGAGGTCAAACACACTACGCAAGAAAAAAACACCGAACCGGCAAACCAGAAAAAATTACAAACAGGTAAACCTCCTTAAATCTCTTTAATATGTGTTAGTAAATACCAGTGCAATATGCTTAAGTCAGAATTATTTGAATTTTCTACAGCAGTATTAATTGGGTTTGATGAAGAAATTTTTTCTTTTACTTGATGTGTGTCACAACACAGAAGCAGACTCTGCATACTTACCCAGGCTGAAGGAAAAAGCAAATTAAAGCAAAGTAAAAAGCTGTTAAAAGCGCCAATTTTAACATTCAGTTTTTAGGGCACCGAGTATTGACTCGCTTATAAAATGTCTCCAGTAATGCCTGCAAAACACCTTTCAGATAAAAACAGACATAAGATTTGATAACAAGGAGTTAACACTTTCTAACAATTTTATTAGAAGATGAAGTATTCCTAAGTCATTTGCTTCACTGAATTATGAAGTCATACAAACTAAATTTTATCTAAACATTCATATTAAACAAATACAAAGAGGACAGACAGAATATTTAGAGGTGCAATGTTGCAGTTCAAAATCCTATGGTAGGAAGAAACAGTGGCTAGTAAAATGATTTGTTACTATGAAATGCACAGCAAAGTATCTAGCTAGTGGGGTCTTGATGAACTGAGATAGTATTTCTCTTGCATAAACATAATTCCACTTTTCTTTAGAGTTTACCTTTTTAATTGAGATGGAGTAGCTTTGGCTTGCAACAACAATCTCCTGTTAAGTAATACCCATAAAAACAGCCCCAAAGGTGCTTGAAACTCTCTACAAGCAGGGGTTTTTTTGGTGGTTTTTTTTTTTGTGTTTTTAAGAATGTCAAACACTGCTGTTGGCACTTTTAAAAATTAAAACAACTCCATCCTCCAGATTTAGACAACCTATCCATAACATCAAAAAAGCTGAGTTTCAGAGAGAGATTCTGATAACAATAAAAACCTATAATGATACTCTTGCATAATCAAACTAAAGGGCAAATTCAGCACTGACTGGGTTATGCCTGGACAGTGGATCTTCAACAGTACGATATCTTGCTCTTCAAGGACAGGAGAAAATACGGTAGCATAGTCCTTGGCAGCAGACAGTAACACAGGGGCTTGATTGCTTGATTGCTAAGTGGCAGATTTCATATACAATGGGACCAACACCTGCAATTTTAGCTCCAAATCTGGTAAAACACTAACAGAAAACCAATGTTTTCATTCTGTAACATACCCTGGTGCTCAAAGATGTCAAATTCTGTTCTCGTAGGCAAGGCTTCATCATTTAGTCACTCTCCAGAATCATGTTAACACTGGAGAAGGAATTGTTTCTTCTTACCTGGTAATGGGGTGTTTGTGCACTTTTATGCTGCCATATAAAATACAGCTTCTAGGTGCCAAGCAGTTCAAGAGGAGAAATTAATAGTAAATCCATTTAACAACCTGAAACATCCCTGGAAGCTACTATTTGAAGAGTCATAAAAAAATGTAAGTGTATGAAACAGGTTATAGCTTGGTTCCCTAAGGAACTCTCCTTTGCAACCTGTCCACAAAGACTTATTTAATGAAAAAAAACCTGACAAGCATGCTCATTCTGTACAGATGTTCTATATTCTAAGCACGCATAAAGCCCCAAGTATTTATGTAACTGCCCGGTATCTTCAATGTAACTCTTGTGTCCAAAATGAACCTTCCTGTGATGTACCACATCACCCTCACTAATTCAGAGCAACCTCAATGCTCCTCCTGCAATTATTCACTCAGAATAAGACAGATTTTCTGACTCTAGGTCCACAAAAATCAGTGCTTCCCTATCAGACCCTCCCTGTCCCCAACTTCTGCTATTGGGTACATCATGGCCCTTATGCAAATCTATTCTCGGCCCTGGGAGCCAGCTGGTGCAGGCTACAGCACTGGGGTATTTCATTTTCCTGGCTCCCACCTTTCAGTGGCTTTCCTTTTCTCCTCCTTTCTGCACAATATTGAAAGGCTGACATGGATTTGATATCCAGTGTTTTGTTCAAATGGATGAAAGACTTGCTTCAAGCTTGTTTACCCAGTAAATGCATCCCTTGGGAGCTGTGAAGAAAAAAATACTCTTCTGGGACCTGATTTCCTGATGTTTTTCTTTGGCCTATGCGTTCAAGACAGACTGAAGAGCACTGCTGATAGAACACAAGCAAAATGGATGAACCGTCCACCTAATGTGCAACTCCACTTCCTGGAATGCTAAGTGGAAAAGAGCCGCTCTTCCAGCATGAAATCCAGTACATACCAGTAAGGACAGTAAGATAAACACATTATTTCCCAACAGCCTAATAAGATTTTAAAATTGTGGTATTATAGAGTACCCATTCCCTTCGTTCAAATTCTGTATTTTTAATGCTTATTAAATTCTATGCTTCATTTCTACTTTAACTACAATGCCCTCTTTATTTTCAGGCTTCTAAGACAGATGTGTACTGAGTTTTCATTTTCAAAGTATTTTCCACTTCTTTCTAGTGAAAATGTAGAGCCTTCTAACCAGAACAGCATTCCTATAAAGAAACTACCTTTATAAAAATATGCATCTTCTCTGTTCCTATACAAGAATAAATATGTTCGTGATGTTGACAACTGCAAAGCATGAAATATTTTCAGGTGAAATACAAATATTGTTAAAAACAAGTTAATTGAATAAAATAAGAGAAAACTAATTCTCTTTAAATCAGGACTGGTGCACTCATTCCTCTGACTTTTCAACAAGGTATACACAAGGGAAAAAAATCACAATGGAAAAACTCCTATGCCAAGGCTGATGTAAAGTACAGAGTTATCTCTGAATGTTAATACTGGCAGTGCACTTATCTCAGGATACGCACAGATGCTAAAAATAAGAAGTGAGTGTTGTCTGCACGTTCTGTTTTCCAGAGCACTAATACAAAGATGTCAGAGAGGAAAAAAAATAAATCTCTCAGAGTCAGAAACATTTGCTGACTTTATAAGGATAAAAATCAGTGTATTTTGCGGATTACAATTTTGTCTCTTCCTTTTGTTTATTTAATACATTTTCTGCTGATTTAATTTACTGAGTTCTGGTCCTCCAGCAGAACTCAAGGTTTCCCAGGCCTTCGGGAAATCTCAGCAGCAGCTCTCCCTTAGCACACAGTGCTCACGCATCCTCCCTGCTCAGACCTAGGCCTTGAGCAGCCTACGGCATTGGACTCGCCTACTGGCACACACATTGCCTCCAAGTAGAAGAAACTCCTATTTGATGGTCTAGGCCCCTTCTTGCTCAAGGAATAAAGTGTAAAAAGCCATTTTGGGTTCTTTGGATAATTTTGTTTGTCCTAGAAAGACAGTTTCATAGGTCTGCAAGTAGCATCTCCAGTGGCTGAGTACCCCAAGGCATGAGTACGCACATGGGCACACACACAGCCCCTCCCAATAACTGGAAAGGGAGTAATTTCAACATTTATAAAAGCATCACTAACCTAACTTTTTTTACTTTAATAGATGACATCTCCTTCTCTTTATCTCACTTTTCCTTTCAGATAATCTGAATGCTTAATTAAACTACAATGAGAAGACAGTACCTGCAAAATAAAAGATGAGCCCGCTTGATGCAACAAAATCAGGATTTTTAGTGTGCATTGCTGTCTGTATGTTCATCTACACTTTCATCTACCTGAAGAATACACTTTCTGAAGAGCCAAATGAACAAAAATTTAATGCAAATATAGAAGAGTGTGGATTTTACCCAGATGAACTTTGTTCAGCTCTTTTTCTGGGGAAAACTGCTGCCTTTAAGATTGGAAACCTTTGTCAGACTACCTACCAACCTAAAACACTCAGCTGCCTTCAGACTTCATGCAACTGCTCCACGGTTTTGAAGACACTGCATTTTATCACAAGGCCACTGTCAGATGAAGAAGGAAATTTCTCATTGGCATACATTATCACAATTCACAAGGAGCTGGAAATGTTTGTAAAGCTGCTAAGAGCTATTTATATGCCTCAGAATATTTACTGTATACATGTTGATGAAAAGTCACCAAAAGATTATAAAGCTGCTGTACAAAACATCGTTAATTGCTTTGAAAATATTTTTATTTCCTCAAAGAGAGAAAATGTTGTTTATGCAGGATTTTCAAGATTACAAGCTGATATTAATTGCATGAGAGATCTAGTTCATTCCAAAATTCAGTGGAATTATGTTATTAATCTATGTGGTCAAGATTATCCCATTAAAACAAACAGAGACATTATACAATACATCAAAAGTAAATGGAATGGTAAAAATATGACTCCTGGGGTAGTCCAACCTCTTCATATGAAACACAGGACACAAGTTAGTTACAGAGAGTATGTACACTCTGGAATGTCATACGTGTATCCAACAAAGAATATAAAAGCTAAACCTCCGTATAATTTGACAATATATTTTGGTAGTGCCTATTACATACTCACTAAAGAATTTGTTGAGTTTACACTGACTGATGCACGTGCAAAAGACTTGCTTGAATGGTCGAGAGACACGTACAGTCCAGATGAACACTACTGGGTCACACTGAATCGTTTAAAGGGTAAGATGTCTGTTATTTCTACTATGAATAACCTCTAGACCAACAGCATTGTAAGATCTATGTCATGGAGAGCTACTGAGTTCCAATTCAGAGCTTAACACCACCACTTAATCAAGTTACATTGTGTAAATATGATTGTTTCACCAGCCTTGATGCTGCCCTTTCAAACAGTCACATCACCTGACAGCTGACAAATTAAGCTTGATTTCAGAAAAGTACTATTTATGGTGCAGATCGTTAGCTACGAGGCTACAGAAATGTTGATTAAAAGAGTAGGGTGTTTTTTTTTCCTACATAAAAGCTCATGCTCAAGGAGTAATAAAAAAAAAGTAATAAAACTAAGAACAACGCCTGTTGTTATGAGGTAAGTATCTGTAAATAAATACTTAAGGTGGCTACATTTAAAAAGCCTCCAGCAATGAAAATTTTCCCTGTCATAAGTAGAAAGCAATCTTATCAGGACTTTATGTTTTTAAAGATGCTCCAGGGGCTACACCAAATGCAGACTGGGAAGGAAACATACGAGCCATTAAATGGAAAGATCAAGAAGGAACCATACACAAAGGCTGCAAAGGTAGCGTGAATTCTGATCGTGAACTCCAGCTTGATTCACTGACTAGCATTCATTGCAAATTACGTACCGTGCTTTAAGCTAGCTATTGAATGTGCCACAGTGGTCATATATATTTTATTTTGGAAGTATCAAATAAAACAGCAAGCCATCCTACTAAATTACTCCACTGTATCCAATCTAAATAGCTTTTTATATATTCTTGCAAAGATTGTCACAGTATCCATATACTGACAGCCGTTCTTTCAACCTCCAATTACCAGCGCATTAACTTGACTGATCAGTTTTCAGTGAAGAGTAGGGGCTTGACTGGACAAGCATGTTTGTCAGATACTTTCGTCAACATTGGGTTAAATGTTTTCAATTTGAACAATAATAAAAAGGAGAATAGTGCTGACCACATAGAAAGAATGCAAAAAAACCCAAACAAACTGCATAAACTGAGCACAGTAAAGTACTGCATGATCAAACAGGTATCCACATAGAAGTAAGAGATCAGAACTACAGGGTGCCAAACCACAGGACACAATATTAAACAGAGCAACTTGTTAATGAAACAACTGGAGGTAACATGTATCCATTTGTGTTAAATACAAAACCAAACCCTCGACTTCATGTTTAAAATCCAGCATTATCTTCCAGATACACTTCAATGATGCTTTATGTGAAATCAAAATCTAATTTTTGTTAGTAACACTATAGACTGAAACTACTTCTTAAAAATTGTTCTGTTCAGCTTTCTGCTGCTTTCAGATACCTTCACTTTGTCTTTGCAGGTCATTACGTCAGAGACATTTGTGTCTACGGACTAGGGGATTTGCAGTGGATTATTGAGTCGCCCCATTTGTTTGCCAACAAGTTTGAGCCTGCAACATATCCACTTGTTACGGACTGCCTAGAGAGACGCTACAGGCTTAAAGTACTGCACCAAGCAGAAGTTCCCATTGAAGATCACTGGCGTTTTCAGGAAGAGAACTATTTCAACATGAAGCTCAATGTTTGAGCTTAACTAACATGTAAACAAGTGTTCAAAATACTGACAGAAACCATCAATGTTTTTAATCACAGACTTCACTCTGCTTTACAGCATAAGGGTAAGCACAATACTGTACTACCGGTCTGCCAGTGAATAAAGTTAGTTTTTATTTATTACAGAAAGATAAAGAGCATCAACTGCTAATGGTTAATTCTCAAAGAAAATGACATGTCTCAATCTGTAACTTACTGAAAACATGGGGGAAGTTCATGATCCTTTAAGTGATTTATTTAACTGGAATAACAGATACTCGTCATGTTTGCAGCTAAAAAAAAAAGGACTAACTGGTATGAAAATAATAAAATGGAAGCAATGACTGAACAAAGATAAAATATGAAGAGCACAAGTTAAAGTCATGTCTACTGTATGTCTTATGAAATAGATTATTTTGAATAATGAGGTTCATGCTAAAATTTCAGAGCTTGTAGTTAAGCAAGTGCCAGCCAGTTTCAGACACAGTCCATTTCACTGTTGTTTGTTTTTTCCATGGCCAGCTGCATCTCTAATTTCATTGTGTAGCATGGCAACATCACTCTCACACTACCCAAGCTTTGCTCCTAATGAAAAGGAGAGGTGTGCCAGTAACAGTAGTAGGGATCCTGCAGTGCATGTTCACCTTTAAGTCCCTGTTTCTGAGTCTCTGCAGGAGATTAGGGCAAGGAGACAGGAAATTTGAGGCCAGGAAGCAAAGGAAAACAGTGAAAAGCCATCTTTCAATCCCAGTGTACCTGAGTGAGGGAAACAAAACTTCCCTGAAGCTTGCAACAGTCTGCAGCAATAGGAGATAACACCTAGCAGCAACCAGGACAAGCATTTCATTTTACGAGGCTATAACGAGGTGGATGGATG